TCCCCGCTGCCCACGCCCATATCAGGTCATGCTTGCACGAGCTCCTGGAAGTTTCCGGGCATCTTTCCTACCCCTGGGAAGGAAGCTCTGGGGCAGGAGAGGAAAGCGGGTGGACAGCCTGAGCTAAGGTGCCATCAGGTTACTCCTGCGTGAAGCTGGTCAGAGCCTCCACAGAACTCACCTGCAGAGAAGCTTCAAGAAGAAACAGGTGAGGGGGGAGGGTAAGAGCCTAGACACTGAGAAAGTGCACAAGAAGTGTCAATGCCCCCTCCTGCTTACAAGCAACCTATTCGGGTCCAGAGAGAGTCTCTCGGTCTGTTCTAAATCTCCTGCAAGAGGATCCATTGGCCTGGGTTTGGGTCAGCTTTCACTTCTCCAAATAACAGCAGCCCCACCGCAACTCCATGATAACAAGATGCCCCTCATCTCGCCCCAAGGGTGGTGTCAGAGGGGGCCTAGTGGAGAGTCAGGATGTCACCACTTGGCAATAACTAGGCCACATACATACACAGAGAGTCAGTGGAGATCACGTGGGGAATCAGAATTCCCGCCCTGCCCAGCAGTAACCAGAAGCCCTGTACGGCGGGTGCGAACAAAAGCTGGGTAGAAAACCTGATGGTCCATCCTCACTTGGCCATAACGAGGCACAGCCCCCTCCAGACCGCCACAACACTGGCGGCGAATGTCTGCTAAAACCTAACATTTAAACAAGATGCAGAACCTTCTCATACCCCAAAAGTCCAAGTTTTGATTGAAAATCTCTCCTCATACTGAGAACCAGGAAGATCTAAACAAAATGAGGAAAGACAATCAACAGACACCAACACTAAGACGATGCAGATGTTAGAATTATCCGACAGGGGATTTAAAGCAGCAATCACAAAAATGCTTCAACAAGCAATCGTGAACATGCTTGAAACTAAGGAAAAATTAGAAAGAAAAGAAAATAGAAGCTATAAAGAAGAGCCATCAAGTAGGAATTTTGGAACTAAAAGAAAAAAATAATACAATAACTAAAATAAACCCAGTAGATGGGCTCAACAGTGGGTTGGAAAGGACAGAGGAAAGAATCAGAGAACTTGAAGATGTAACCGAAGGAATTATCCAATCTGAACAGAGAGAAAATAGATTGGAAAAAAATGAACATGTACATGTGGAACGTAATGAAAGATCTAATATTCATGTCATTGGAGTCCTGGAAGGACAGGAGAAAGAGGAAGGTACTGAAAATTACTTGAAGAAATACTGCCTGATATTTTTCCAAATTTGGCAGCAAAAGGAAAAAAAAGCCTACAGATTCAAGAAATTGAGCAAATCCCAAACAGAATAAACCCAAAGAAATGCACGGTAAGACACATCATAGTCAGACTTCCCAAAACTAGAGACAAAGTCTTGAAAGTAGCCAGAGAGAAATGACACAACAGAGGAAAATCCATTCAAATGACAGCAGACTTCTCATTAAAAAACCGTGGAAGCCGGACGGAAGTGGCATATTTTTTTAGGTGTCAACTGTCAACTCAGAATGATATAGCCAGCAAAAATATCCTTCAGGAATGAAGGAGAAGTCAAAATACCCTCAGATAAATTGGTGCAGGCACTATGGAGAATATAATGGAGGTTCCTTAAAAAACTGAAAATAGAGATACCATATGATCCAGCAATCCCACTCCTTGACATATATCCAGAGAAAATTCTAATTTGAAAAGATACATGTTTCCCAATGTTCACAGCAGCACTACTTACAATAGTCAAGACATGGAAACAACCTAAATGTCCATCAACAGATGACTAGATAAAGACGACGTGGTATGTGTGTATATGCATATATACAATATATGCATATACACAATGGAGTACTACTCAGCCATAAAAAAGAATGAAATAATGCCACTTGCAGTAACATGGATAGACCTAGAGATCATCATACTAAGTAAGTCAGACAGAGAAAGACAAATATCATATGATATCACTTATATGTGAAATCTTAAAAAAAATGATACAAAGAACTTATTTACAAACCAGAAATAGACTCACAGACATAAAAAACAATGGTTACCAAAGGGGAAAGGAGTCCGGGGGAAGGATAAATTAGGAGTTTGGGATTAACATATGCACACTACTATATATAAAACAGATAAACAACAAGGACCTACTGTATAGCATAGGGAACTCTATTCAATATCTTATAATAACCTATAACGGAAAAGAATCTGAAAAGTAATATATATGTATAACTGAATCTCTGCTGTATACCTGAAACTAACACAACATTGTAAATCAACTATACTTCAAGTAAAAAAAAATCTCAGATGGAAGAATACTGGGAGAACTTGTCACCCAGCAGACCTATGCTAAAGGAAATGGCTAAAGAAGTTCTCTAAACAGAGGAAATGTCAAAAGAAGGGCGCTTGGACCATCAGGAAGGAAGGAGGGAAGGCAGCGAATCAGTGAAGAAGTGGATAAATACAATAAACGTTCCTTCTCCTCTAGAGTTTTCTGATTATGTTTGATGGTGACAGCAAAAACTGTAACACTGTCTAATGTGATGGATTCTGAATGCATGCAGAGGCAATGTTCATGACACTCATACATGAAGGACTGCAGGAGACACAAAAGGAGGTAAGTTTTCTACACTTCACTTGAACTTTGTATAATGTTACCACCAGGAGACTTTGGTAAGTGTTCTATACAGAATATAATACCTAAAGCAGCACTTAAAAAAAAACATGCAAAGAGATACACTTAAAAACACTACAGATCATCTTTTCAACAGACGGTGCTGAGACAACTGGATAGACATGCAAAATAATGAAGTTAAATGCTTACTTTCACACCGTACACAAAAAAATTAACTCCATATGGATCAAAGACTGAAACAGAAGAGGGAAAACAAGAAAATCCTTAGAAGAAACCACAGGGGTAAATCTTCATAGCCTTGGATTTGGCAATGGAGTCTTAAATACGACACCAAAGCAAAAAGTAATTAAAAGAACAAATAGATACATCGGACTTCATCAAAAGTAAAAACATTTGCGCTTCATAGAACACTACCAAGAGGCTTAAAGACAACCTACAGAGCGTGAGAAAATACTTGCAAATCACATACAGGATGAAGGACTCATGTCTAGAATATATAAGAACCCGTACAACTCAACAAAAAGACAAACACACCAATTAAAAATGGCAAAGGAGCTGAATAAACATTTCTCCGTGTGTGTGTGTATGTGTGTGTGTGTGATTAACAAGGCCATAAAAAAATGCTCAGCATCACTGGTCATCAGCAAAGTGCAAATCAAAACCACAATAAGACACCACTTCACATCCTCTACATGCTCACGATAAAAGAAAAATGGAAAATAACAAATCTTGGCAAGGATGTGGAGAAACTGGAGAGCTCGTGTTGCTGATGGAAATATAAAATGGTGCAGCCACTGTGGACAAGTTTGGCAATTCCTCAGTAACTTAAATATGGAATTACCATATGACCCAGCAATTCCACTTCTGGGTATATATATCCAACAGAGTTGAAAGCTTGTGTTCCAACAAAACTTGTACTGAAATGTCCCAGCAGCACTATTCACAATAGCCAAAAGGTGGAAACAACCCAAATGTCCATCAACCGATGAACGGCTAGACGTTTATTGTGGTATATCCATACAACGGACTGTCAGTCACAGCTGTCAGAACAGCTGCAATTAACATCAGAGGCGATGTCAAATGCTGGAGAAGAGGCAGAGAAACTGGATCTCTCATCCATGGCTGGTGAAAACAGAAAATGGTATAGTCACTCTGGAAAAGAGTCGGCAATTTCTTAAATGGGTACAAAACTTACCAGATTCTTAATGGATTTCAACCTCCTGGAACTGCAAGATTCTAATGGAAAATGAGATTGCAGATGCAGTTAGAAACCTGGGAGTGCCAGGTGGAAATTTCCCAAAAATCTTCCCTCCCCAAGGGAAGTGAATAGAAATGGAGTAAAGAGAGTTCTGGAAATTGACTCCAAGGAGTGGGAGGCAGCCAACTCGGCCGGCCTCATTTTCTGCTCTGACTTGAGCCGGTGTCTGGCCACCTGGAATACTGAAGAAGCCGGACTCAAGGGGACAAGCAGGAAGCGACCTAATTGTACCCCCAGCACTGTCTTCAAAACCACTGCCGGCCTCCCTCCCCATCTCAGGAACACTTGTAGCTCCTTCTTTCAGGGTGAGCTTTGTAGGATCTTTCAAGGCTCCCTCCACTACTGAAGCCCTTTCCTGCCCAGTCCTTGGCTTCAGTCTGTTTGTGACTATCCTTCAGACCCCTGCTCCGAAGTTCCACCCCTTGGCCTCTCTCTGGAAGGGGTAACCAGGCACAGACCCCTCAAAGGCCCCTTGGCCTGGGGCAGGGGCTTTCAGGGAGCTCCAGCTCAGCTCCCCTCTCAGTGTGTGTCCTGCCCGATTCTGGAAGTGGAAGCAATGGCCCCTCTCTCTTGGCTCAGCCCTCGTGAGCTGCTCCAACCAGCTGTAGGCCGTGCCTTTTTCTAGAGCGGAGTCCAGATCCTGAGGCTCCGGGCCCCACCTATTTCAGGGGGTCCCAGCCATGTTCCCCAAAGGACTCCCACCATGGGGAGGACCCAGCCTACGGGGGCCTTCCAGGGTCTGCAGCTCAGAAGACATGGCATGATTGGTGAGCAATGGGGGAGATGTCAGTCTCCCTCCTGGCTGACACCCCCAATCTACAAGCAGTTGTCTTGAAGGATAACCTCCTATCTTGGTCTTGGTTGAGGGGAGAGAACCAAAAGAACAAAAGGGAAACATAACCCCTAAACAGCTCTCTTTAGAGAGATCCCCACCCCCAGTGACGTCCTGGTGTGACCTGGAGTGATGGTGGACTAAGGGCCACAAACTCCCTCTTACCCCCAGGTGTTTACACCTCCCGTCAGCCCCACGCGCACAGAGTTCCCCTACCTCTCCAAAGCGTCAGCATAGTTACCTGGCCATGTCGCTCTCCTTAAAATTCCTCCCGTGCTCACCTGGGAAGCACATATGCTAAAACTGGAACAATACAAAGCAGGTTAGCATGGTCCCCGTGCAAGGATGACATGCAAATTTGTGAAGCATTCCATATTTTTAAAATGATACAAATTCTGTTTACAAACCAAAAAACAGACTCTTGGACGTAGAAAACAAACTATGGTTACCAAAGAGGAAAGGGTGATGGTGGGGAGGAGGGATAAATTTGGGGTTAGGAATTAACAGACACACATTACTATATATATAAAATATAAAATAGATAAACAGGGACCTACTGTATAACACAGGGAACTACATTCAATTTCTTGTAATAACATATACTGGAAAATAATCTGAAAGAAAAAATCTCTATATATATGTGTGTGTGTGTAAATGAATCACTGTTGTAACTAATGTTGAAACTAATGTTGTAAATCAACTACACGTCAATTAAAAAAATTTTTTTTTAATCCTCCCGAGGCTTTTTGGGTACCCTTGGACAAAATTCAAAATGCTCTCTCTGGCCCACCCTCCTAGTGCCTCACTGTATCTTATGTCACTCTCCTCTTCAACAGCCTCCTCACCACTCCTTGAATGGACTACCACTGGACCTTTGCACATGCCATTCCCTTGGTCCCCCCATCTAACCCTGCAATTTGATAAGCTCTGCTTATCTATCAGTTCTCCACTTAAACTTGACCTCTTTAGAGCAGCCAGCAGATTAGAATGGTCCCCATCATCCTACACTAGTCACAGATGTGGCTACCTGTTCCCATGCAGCCATGGATATAATTGCATGAACTCTGTAGGCAGACTGCTTTGGTTCAAATCCTGGTTCTGGCACTCACCAGCTGTGAGACCTTGAATGAGTCACTGAATCTCTCTGTGCATCAGTTTCTTTGTCTGCAAAATGGGAACAAAAATAGTGCCTACCCTCTAGGCCCACTGTGAGGATTGACTTGTTATATGCAGAGTGTTTAGAAGGGTCTGGCCCAGAGTAAGTTCACTATAATGTTTGTGAAGTAAGAAAATACATAAAAAGACCTATGGGACATGAGTGGCAGGTTACATAGTACATACATTTTTAAATTTAAATAAAGCTGAAAATCTTTTAAAATTACCCCTCAAAAATCAAAGATCTAACAATATATGTGTCCCCAGGCCAGGAAGCCAAATTGGTGACCAAAGAACTCAGGGCCAGTTTTACCCTGGGGGTATCTGCCATGTGACCAGTTGAGAGGCTGAATTGCCCTTTGGTCAGTTTCAGAGTGCTGGGTGGGCACAGTTTAGAAGCAGAGCCTGACAAAGGTAGGCATCTTTGTAAACCGGCTTTGGGCTGGGACTCGGACAGGCTGCCTTCTAGGAATAAGGGTGAATCAGAAAGACGTCAGCCCTGAGTGCAATAGATTTGCAATAGATTTGAATCGATTGCAACCTGGCTTTGCAGTATCAAGTCTGAAACTTAGGCTTACGGGACCCCCAAAATCCTTTGCGAAGGAAAAGAATGTCATGTCAGGCTTCAAACTATTTTTACAAATACTTTCTCAAATAAAATGTCCAGGAGGAAAAAAAAATCAAAGACATAAGGAAACAAGACAAAATGAACTAGAAACAGCAGAAACAACAGACCACAGAAACAGACCCATAGAATTCCAGATGTGATTCTCAGACACAAACTGTGAAATACTGTATTTTATCAACTCCGAAGTGCCTTTTATTATTTATAATGAAGAAAATGAAGCCACCATTAGGTCACATTAGCCTCTCGCTGCTTTGAAATTTATTTCATCCATGTTGAGAAATTAGGCAGTTTCTCCTGCCTTTGGCTGCACTGATGAATGATGGGCCACCCTTTGCATGACTCGGGGATCAGATTGTAAAACAGGGCTTCCAACCACAGTGGAATAACAGAGACCAGAACTA